TGGTCTACTCTTATCTCCCTACTCAGAAAGCTCTTTTCCAAACGTTGCATTAAAGAATAGAAGACTTAACCGATTCATTTCTTTATTGATTTAAAATGTGATTTATTTTATAAACTTTTCTATCAGACGCTGTTTAGATAAGAAACAAATAACGATCTGGAACAAAGCTGAAGTTTAGCTTCTGAAACCAGGTTTTGGGAAAAAATTAAATAGCCTATATTAGGTTAACCTAGGTTAGGTTACAAAAAAATATTAATAGGTTAGGTTATGAAGATTTTTATAGGTTAGATTATAGGTTGTCAAAAAATCGTAACCTGCAGGGTTCTACTTCCCATATCATATTACTATATTTATTTTGTTTGTTGCTGTTTTACAGTGTTTTTTGTTTTGTATTCAAAGTTCGTCTATTTTAAGCGTTTTTTCTTATTTAAACATGTGACTATTCTATTTTAGTTTAGATGTAAAGCGACTGCTGGTCATTAAATTAAATCAATTTTAATGGCAACATCTGAATCAACAGTTACATTTACAAGTACGTATAATCATAACGAAAATAATTTTTAGAGGATAATAAATGATGTCGTTTGCGCACTTTTTTCGCTCTTATATGAACAAAATATTTAATTTTAATTAAAACAATTACTACTGATAACCTCCAGTTGAGGTTTAACTTCATAACTTCAAGCGTTGTATAAAATACAGACACGGAACAGTAGTGGCACAACTTTTGTAGTTTTACTGCAAAGCTAAGTTCATGTGTTTGATAGTTTTAGTTTAGAATACTATAATGAAATATTTTTCCGCTCGTATTCTGAAAGAATAAAGCTTATATCAAATATTTAATTTTGATGAACATACAAAGAACGATTACAAAAATAAACAACTTATTTTTCAAATCAATGGTCAACGTATAAGTTTTGTTTGACAATGAATGATTATTTAACCACTCGCGTCAAAAGATATAATAAATTTTGCGTATACTATTATTAATCGACGATTTAATTTTAACTTTTAATCTTTAAAATCTGGATTTAACTTTTTTTTGTTTTATTTTAGTCTTTATTTGAGCGTAATAAATATTTTAGTATCTCTTTCAGTTATAAACTGAAATGAGCATATTTTTTCTCTTTAGTAGTGAGAACAGCAGTAAAATTTTATCTGGAACAGTAGTATGACACTCAGCGCCTTGATACTCAGCATATGTGGCGCTTTCTAAAAACAAATATTTTATAGTAACGAAATATAAAGAAAGGAAAAAATGATAGTGATGACTTTGTGATGTAATATTCTATAAAATCATTATGAAAAAATAAAACAAGATTTTGCACGATCAAATGCTAAAAAATCATATGATCTTGTATGATCTTATGAATCTTATAATTAGATCTTTTGATATAACTTTCTAGAATCTTGGCATAAGATTGTATAAAACTATTTCTTTCAAGATCTTGTTGTAAAATCTTATAAGATATCACAAAATCGATACAGGAAAAATTTGACTAAGATATATAGTACATTTGTACACATGCAAATCATTGATTTATATGATAAAAAAGAAATATTTTCTTTTCTTCTAATTTATACGTCACTGACACGGAAACATCTCTAAGTGTGCCCTCAAGATTTTAGTGCAATATGATGATTTTAATATTTGATTTTTCCTGTAAAAAAGAAGCTCTTGTATAACTGATCATACTTTTTCATAGTCGTGTTGGCTAAACATAAAAGGAAGAAGATTGTTATGTAGAGATGTGACAGCTAAAATCATTATATTTGTGATCAGTACGCTCTATTTTATTATGTATTACACTAAAATCTTTAAGTCACACTTGCAAACGTTTCCTTGTGATTGTGAGCACAAAATGAAGTATACGTGTAAGACAAGTGACTGTATACGATTCTTGGATGTTGCGGTTCTATTTATGCTTGAAACATTGTGAAAAGCAAAAGTATGAGATCTGGAGGAGGAAGGATAATTGGTACCAAAGGACTAGGATAAATGCTCAGTTGAGTATTATAAAATCTTACTTTTGTAAGATATCATTAGTTTTATGCAACTTCATTTGAGTTTTTATCACCACGAGAATTATTGGAAAATCTTTCAATATTCGGGAAGAATTATTCCATAAAATCTTACGAAATTTCGTACAATCTTGCAAAATCTTATGTATTTTTGAAGTTGATCTTAGAAGATTTAAATAAGATGTTGTTGTTTTATTTTGAAGATCGATTTTTAGCATAATTGAATATTCTGCTATTTTGAACATTATATCAGAAATGGAAAAAAAAAAGTAGGAGTACAAATGACAAATTGGATTTAACATTGAGTTAATGACAGGATTATCTCATAGATTGTTAAAATCTCAAAGAGAATGAGTTCGCTTTTTAGATTGTTTATGTTTTTTTTAGAAGAACTTCAGTTGTTTTTCTTCTTTTTTTTTTTATAATGAATTGCACTAATATTAAAATTAAATCTGTCATCAAACGCTATTGTTAAATAGAAAGAATAATGATTGTTTGACAAAAACATATTTTCCAGTCAATTTAATAGATAGTAAAGAATATAAGTATTGAACAAAAATATGTAGTTAAAAAACTTGAGATGGAAACGAAAATACAAACTGTTGTCGTCTTTTAAATATAAAATTAGACATTTCTATCACATACTCTGAGAAAATCGCCTTTAAGTTAATTAGTCTATCTTTCTTCTTTTTTTCGCCTTTGTATTTTTCAAGTATATTTATTGTTGATAATCGTATTATGCGTATTTTCTGTTCTTGAGGAAAATCTTCAGAGATTACTGACGTCAAGAAAGATATATAGGCGTTTGTCGAGATAAACCATAGAATAGTTTTGTTGAGCGATTATAAGTTTTAAAAAAATAGTCTTATACTTAATTAAAGAAGAAAACGTTAACGTCATGTTCATATAGAATTTTTTAGTCCCATAGTTCATGAGTTCGTTTGTCTTTTAACTACTGGATATAATTTTTGAAAAATGTTACTCTTTTTTATTGTATTATTGTTGACATCAGAGGATAATTAATATCGAATATTAATCTTTATAATGAAGAGAGAATAGAAATATAGTTTGTATTATCTTCTACTTCTATTTCTTATAAAATCGAATGTATGTGTTCTTTTTTGTTTCGCTTTTTATCTAGATTCAAAATTATCTTTTTTTTTTGGTGACTGTCGATAGGCGTACATAACTGATACTAAATAATTTAGACAGAATATAGCAGAAAGACAGATCATTTAATTGTACTAAAAAGCAGAATGTCACAAAATGAGAAAAAATACACACACACACACACGTTGTGCATGTCCGTGTGTGGTGTCTATAATAGATTAGGCTTTTACATAAATATCTATCCTCTTAAAAGAAAATATAGCTTATAATTCTTTTAACAGTTCCACAAAAAGGCTAAATAATGTTCACTTTTGTTATTCACTAGTCCAAAATACAACAGAAATAGATGATTCAATTGAAAGAGAAATCTGATAATATTTTTCATCTATAATCATCATGAGAGAATAAGCACCTGATAAAATTAAAACTTGCCGATCATTGATATCTATCTCTTTCATTATGATCGGTCATTTTCAATCAGTTTCATTGGTATAATCATAATAATGTGACATTTGTAAATGATTGATTAGGTGATAAATTCTCTTCTATCTTTTGTCTACGTCAATGTGTCAAATTTATAACATTAGAAGTCTCGTCTTTTTTTGTTCATTCTTTTGTGTATCTTAAATTTAATCTTGATGTGTAGCTTGTCCATGTTATCGTATCTCTTGTCCAATTCCTAGAATAAACTATTTCTACTCAGATCGAGATACGCTACTGAAGAAATTACTATTGAGGAACGCTAACTCCTACACATTTCATGAAGAAGTCAGCGCTCTTCAGTAGAAATTTCTTCAGTAGCGAGCGTATCTCGACTTTCTACTCATTCAAGTAGAGATGATAATTGGACACCAAATTAATTGAATGAAAATCTTCTCTATCAAAAGAGTAGAATCATGTGTCATGTTTTCCCACCATTTTAATCCTGAACCAGTGTATGGTCAATGCCACCGACAAGAAGATTATATATCAATGCAAGATATATATTTACATACACAGCTTAATATTATTATATTTGCTTACACTATAGCAGTGTGTATAGTCTTTCTTTTATTTATAAAATTTGCTTGTAGTAGAAATGAGACTCTGTTTATACAAATAAAAAGAGAATAGAATAAGCAGCACAAAAAAATGTGAATGAAAAACATAGTAAGAAATATATGGGCTATATATACATGTACATAAAGATTCTACTCCATTCTATCTACGTAAATGTACAACATATAAAGATAACTTTAATAAAAGCGTTCTCTTTATTCTTCTTTTTTCGAAAAACATAGATTCGGTGATTATATTAAAGACGACACAACAACTCTCTCTTGTCTCTATATTTAAGAAAATAAGAAAGAAAAAAAAAAGAAGACGACAATGCTACTGATGTTTCATTCATTTACTTACTATTGGTATACCATCTATTCTTTATAACTAATAATTATCTTATACACACATAGAAAAAAATTTCTTTACCTTGTTCAATTGTGTGACAGTAACCGACTACAATATATACAACATCTTTTGGTCAAATTTCTCAATCAAATATCTTTCCACAAGATGAAGATGATATTTGATTATGACTGATTGTATATTGTGTATCGAAAAGAAAGTAAAACAACAACGAGAACCTTGTCATCATTAGTCAAGGACATCAAAAAAATAAATAAAAATATGTTGGTGGACACGTATATACACCGGTGAATATCATTATCATTGTCGATATCAAATGTAAAGAAAACGTTTAGTCTAAAAGTAAGAATAACTAATCGCATACACGTACAAATATGGTAATTAGAGAACATATAGAAGGTTAAATGAAAAATTTTCATTAATCTTGATTAAGAAATACGAGTGATTTTGACAAAAATAATAAAATGTCATCATTATTAAAAGAAGAATATGAAGAAGAAGAAGAAGAAGAAGAAGAGCTCAGGTCACCATCAATTCCATTACCAAAGTTTCGATTAGAAAAAGACGACGAAATTCCCAACAGTTTAAAAGATTTATTTCTCAATTCAAAGAATAGAATAAATGATAAAGATGAACAAATCTTTTTGACTGGTACAACAGCCATGCCCTACAATTATCGTCCAAATCGTGTTCGTCGTTCAGCTTGTTCCGACTTACAAAGTACAACAATTCCCGAGGGTCGAATTTATAATGATCAATATGACAATAATCGTCGACGATCAAGTCTCTTTGCATCGCCATCTCTCTGTTCACCACCACCGATCCATACCTCATCCTCTTCGTCAACAATAGATGAAAATGATGATTATGTTAATTTATGTCGAAAACGATGTCAGTCATTGTACGGTGCAACAAAAACACCATACGAGAATCTCGTACGTCAAATACCTTTATCTTATGGAATTATAACACCAACAAACCATAATCTAGAGTCAAAAACTATCCATACTGATACCGGTGTAACTGTTAATTCTTGTTCATATTTAATGCCACAAAGTTTTTTTCGACGACATTCACATTGTTTAACACCAACTGTTTACGATAATGAACCTGTTACTGAGGATCCTTACATCAGTAGCACAAGTTTAATTGTCGAACAGATGCCTGACAACGATGATGTGGACAATTATTCGCGTTCATCGTCTTGTTTCGATGTGAATGAAGATCAACAGGGGCAGAATAATTTATTTCAACCAAAATCAAAGAAAAAATCGTGTTCTGATACAAATATTTTGCATCAAACACGTCATTCATTACCATGCGAAAATTCCAATACATCATTAGCAATTAAAAATTTTCTAAAACGACATCATTTATCATTATCTAAAACACCAACAACATCTTCTAGTTCACTTGTTTCATCAACAAATTCACTTTCATCTTCATCTTTACCATTAAATTCAACATTCCAAAATTTTAAACATTTTTTAACTTTAGTTAAATTACCAAAACAACAGCGATCATCTGTTTCATCTTCAGCATCGTCAACAGCCTCAGTAACGCCTACTCATTCAAGTTTACAAACACTGACAACTGGTAGTGAACATACATCGACATCATTAACCAGCAGTACTACACCAGATACAGAAAATGAATCAACAACAATATCAAAAAATTCACAAAAAAAGAGTACAACAAAACTGAAAATGTGCGATTGCGAATGGCACTATCAGGTAAGAAAGAGAACTTTATATTAATTGAGATATACATATTCGAAAGATAGATTTATTTTATTCCATCTCTGTTTATGAACAACAGGATAATTGTTTACAAAATACCAAACTTTTGTGTAAATTAATAGATTAATATGTGTGTTTAACCGCATATATTAATCGTAGAAAAACTCGTTCGTACTTCATTTGATATCGATTAAAAATTTATCGACAATAACTGACTTATCAAGATAACACATTTTTCAAGTACAAGATACAAAAATGTGTGCTAGTACTAACATAAAAATAAACTTAGATCAATCTTATAATATTTGTTTGTTGAAGAGAAATAAGTACCAAATGTATTAGTTTTTTTCAATTTCTCTGATAATTAGAAACAACTGCAAAAACATCTCACTCAGTGGTATAGATGTGCTAAGGTTTTGTTTTTTGAGGATCAAATATTTCTAATCAAACGTGACTATTTAATTACATAATAGAATAAACAGCTTGATATTTTTCCTTAGATAATATCACAAAAAAAAAAAGAAAAAAAAAAAATTTCTGATTGTAGTTGTAGTTGTTATCATCTTTTCTCGTTTCGTTGATAATGACAACAGAATACTAATAGCTTATTATAGCACTATCATTTGATCAAATGGCAAAAATTTTTAAGAGAATTTTGACGTCACAGAATCTAATCTAGGAAATAAGAAAAAGATTGATCTAAAAAATCTGTATGCAATTTGCACATATACAATTGGTCAAGCAACTGAATATTAAATAATTTATTTTGTACAAAATGATAATAGTAATAATGATGATGATGATTATTCGTTTTACATAAGAATTAATACACATATATTAAGAAAATAATCTTTTGTTTTGTTTCTAGCCTGATAAAGGAAATTGGTGTTCAATAAATGGTAGTGCAATAACATTAGGACCAATTGAATTACATAATTTAACACATATTGAACATAAATTATTGAAACGAATCATACAACAACGTTTACAAAATCTTGACATGGGACTAACCGTACATGTTCCCAAAGGTAATATAAGAATGAAGAGGAAGGAGACAAAAAAACGCTAATCCCATGATAATAACACTTCTAGAACTCTTTCTAGTTTGTGTGAATTAATGACTGTGTAATGAGATGAGAAGAGAAGTATACCGTGTGACTACAAAAGACTTCATCTTTACTAATGAACATTTGAAATGCTCTTTATATGCTATAAAATTGTATTCAATTATCTATTTTCTTATACTCTTGAGAAAATTGCTGAATACTTAACGCTTCTTTTTAAGTATTTTTTTTATGATTGATAGTCACGTATATTTCACAATTAATTATTAGTTCAATGTAATTAGAGAAGAATAACATTTACGTTTTTATAAAGATGTGGGTGGAATAGAAAACCTTGATTTCAAGAAAATACATGTCTTGATACAATGTCTAATTCTCCCAAATTATCTCCTGTGGCTAAAGAGTTAACCGTTTCTCTCTTTTAAATGTTTTTCTTCTGATATTCAGTTGTGCATTGATTCTGAAATAAGATCATCTTTATATCCTTTATATCCAAGATTATATTTATATTGTCTAAAGAAATATGAATAATACAAATGTTCTCCTCCTATCATGACCGTGAAATTTGGAGATAATCCTAACAGTTGAGAAAAAGTATTTTCATCGTTAAAAACTTTTAAAAAATTGGTTGTTTATTAATCATTTGAAGGCATTAAAAAAGAATTATTAATAACATATCTAAATTAAAACTGAACAGTTTCATAAAAGTTTTCGGCAATAGGTGGTTTTTTTTTATCTTTAGCACAGACGTCCCATTATAACAAATATTACAATAAAGCTAAGATTAAGAGTATTGTTTTTATTTTAATAATCCATTTAGAGTTTACCCCTATATACATTGATCGACTAACATGTGTTATAACATTGTCATTATATGATGACCTGTCTAGAATAAGGTTATGATATGCATTACGAACACTAATTATTTTAGATAAATTCCTTTAACAGAATTCTTCTCAAACATAAACGGATTATTTATCATTATTGTCTTCTTTCATATGCTATACAAAACGATATTTTTAGAAACACCCATTCTATCAAGAGACTTTGTTGAAATAGTATTTTTACCTAGTAAATAATAAATTAAGGAGAACAAATAAATGATACATCATCTCTAATATCGATCTATAGATACAATGTTAAAAATCTACGTTCTTTAGAAAATAGAAATGATGTTTTTTTCATTTGTCTTCTATAAAGATCTGATATGAATTTTTTGAAAATATGTGAAGATGAATTCTTTGACTTTGTATAGAATTTATTTTCAGTTCTTCAATCCTTTAGCTCTTTGGAGATATTTGTTGTCTGAAGATCTGCTGGCCAAAAAACTTCAAAGTTATTAAAGAACTCAGCTTTGAACTTTGATTTTTTGACTCAAACACTGCTTGAAATTGAAAGGCGAGATATGACAGTTAAACATCTGGCTTCCTCCGACAAAATCTACCCGAAAAAGAACCTTTTTCCTCAAAAACTTTGAAGGTTAATTTCTACGACTTCTGGGACACGTTTTTTAGTACCTACGAGCGAACACCGAGGCTTAAGGTGAAGTGAAATCATTAAATGTTCGATGATTTATCTAGTAGCTGAAGCTTCTCTGCTTTCAGAAAAATCTGATGTAAAATCAACGTTGAGCTAACATAGAATAACGAAGTGTAGTTACTTAAATTAAACTAGATCTCTTTCTAAACAGACTTCTTATAATTAGAAAATCCAAGCTTTTGTAAGCTTGGAACCTTTTGTAAGAAGAGGTGAAACTGTTGAGCCGGGAATAAAATAAGTCTTTATTAATCTAAAATTTATCATTGGATGAATTAGAATCTAAAACAGAGAAAAAAGTTAATCGTCAAACGAAATTTTTGTTTAAAATGAAATTCGGAGGATGAAGAGAGAAGAGATAGTCTTGATTTCATTTAGATAATTTTCCCATTTAAATTTAAGCAGAAAGTTTTCAATACCGAAATTAAACATAAAGACAAACTCCTTTTCTTCCGTCATCGTTCAATAATTAGAAACTTGACAAAGCAACGTTGACATCACACGCCCTCCCCAGGACAGCTACACATTTTTGTCGTCTTTTTATGGATTTGAGATCTCCAGAGAATAGCTGAGTTCTTCATACAACCAAAGAACTCGATTATTGAAGAACAAAATTCATCTGAAGAACTCAGACCGTTCAAAAACTGAAAATAAGCTGAAAAACTGGATATTTGTTCTTTACGTTTCCAAGAACTAATATAAGCTCTTCAGCTAGTTCTCTGAAAGATCGAAAAACAACGATTTTTAAAAGTGTAGAAATTAAGACTGCATCTAAATTCTTCTTTCTCACCCTCAACCTCACCCTTACTCCTCACCCTCATATACTGTTGAATAAACTGATTAAAAAAATATATTTATGTTAATGGAAAAAGATTTTCTACCATTCTCTTATCGCGTATAACAAAATCGTTGCAGCGAAACGGGCTCCCATTTTCAAGGAACCAAATATCATTTACTATTTTTTTGGAACTCACTATGAACTATGGTGCGACTTTAAGTTTTAATGATGGAAAAAATAAAATCGTCTGATAAAATAAATAATTTAGACAATTTAGTCTATAAGTAAATATGTTAGTCTTGTGAATGTGAGTTCGTGACTTCTGTCTCATCATTCGTACAGATGTGGTTTATCTATTGCTTTTGGTCTCTACTTCTCCTCGCTGTGTGTAATACGTACACGCCTTGATTCTTTTATCTATCACCATAGATAAAAAATGTCGGATTTAGTTCACTAAATTCAGTGGAAAGATGCCACATTAGACCTTTTTTTGCTGGCGAGCAGTTTGAGACTGTTATGCTTCAATTTTTCCTCACACGTTTCTTTTTATAACAAGTTGATCCTGAGTTGTATTGTGTTAACATATTGACGCATATAACAAAAAATTCAAAATTTTCTGGATGTTCATCTAAATACGTTTATCTGATTCTTTAGAAGAGCCGGTGAGAAAACGAAAACATCATTTTATGTTTCGAAGTAAATCGAGTGATAAATCAAAAGATGCAAGAGGTACGTATTCACATCAATTTGTTCAAAATCCAGTTAAATTACTCGATATCTACAAAAACGCAATATATTCGAAAGTTTATGCAAATATTCTATAACAAATGAATGTTGTCATTTAGATCTAAAATCAAACGGCTGTGTGTTTGGTGTCGCTTTATCTCAATGCATTGACGATGATGATCGTTGTTCGAGTGGGCGAACGGAGGATGATTTAAGAAAAAACAGTTTGGATTTAGCTACATCACTGGCAATACGAACAAGTCCCAATGGAAGTGTTTCTTCGACTAGTTCAGCCAGAGATAGTGGATGTTCAGTGTCGCCAGCAAGTCCCAGTAGTTTGCAGGTATACATTACGAAAGGGTATAATAAATATGACCAATCTGTATGCTGTATTAATATTATATGTTCACTAGTTTTTTGGAATTTGATATTGAAAAAGTTCTATTTACTTGTCTGAAAAATGAATTCGTCGGTGTTGAGGTTTATCCAATCTTTATAATCTAATGATAGGGCACTTTCAATCTAATGAATTTTTACTTCGTTAAATTATTATATTTTTCTTAGGTATCGGATTCTGATTATGAGAATACAAAAATTCGATCCGTGTCATTAGAAGCATTAAGTGGTGGAGCACAAGCTGGAAAAGTGTCATCGGCCACAGTCATGAATCGTTCCAATACACTCCGTTGTTATCCAGAGAAAGTTCCATATCTAATTAAAAATTGTTGTGAGCATCTTGAACGAAATGGTAATTATTGAATCTATATAGTTGTTCTAATGTATGTTTTTCTTTTTGATGTTGTTAAAGTAAGAAAAACAAATTTGTTTTTGTTAAGCTTTGCAGACAATTGGATTATTTCGTGTGGGTGTTTCAAAAAAACGTTTAACAGAGGTTAGTATGTAATATGTAGAGTGTGAGAACCGTTATAAAAGCAGATTTTTCTATCTATTGGTGCACACCCGATTCTTCATCTACCCTAATACCAATAAAAGTTTTTAGATTTGTTATTACTCCCTATTTTACGATTATTTCTCTGTATTAGAATGAATAAATGAGATATTTACGAACACTATTGAGTGTTTTGAATCGAATTTTAGTTCGATATTCTGGACTCTTTGGAACACACGTATACCGACGACGTAATGAGAATATTTCCTTGAGGTAGCTTTTAAAAGATTATTTTTTCTTACTATTTAATAATTTGTTAGAGATCAGTGTCACTGAGTGGTTCTATACGTACTGCATCATTACGATTACTGGTAGAAACATATTATTAATCAACTTCTAATCCGAATATTCTTCTTTATAGCTCAAAGAACAAGTAAACTTAAGTCGTAGTTTAAATTTTGATTCAACTACAAATGTACATGACGTAGCCGGTTTGATAAAAGAATTCCTTCGTGAATTGCCGGAACCGTTGATGACAAAAGAACTTTGTTCATCTTTTCTTGCAATTCATTCGAGTACGTAATATTCTACTTTATGAGAGAAAAAAAATTTGATTTTTCTGTGTTTATCTAGAAATGAACGTTAAAGACCAATCAAAAATTTTAAGTTATTTAATTGCATTACTTCCATCATCAAATCGTGACACACTTTACACATTATTAAAATTTCTCCACATGGTCTCATTAAACGCACATGATAGGCAATATAATGGAAAATTCGTATGTATAAATTTTTATATTTAATTAGATCAAGTTAATCTTGAATAAAACATGTTTTGATAAAATGGTTAAATACGAAATATAGAAGTAAATCGGATAATGATCTGATTGGTTGTAATTGTATTCAAGTGACTGATTGAAAAAAAATGTTAACTTTGATAAGTGTGAGCATAATGAATACCGCGTCTTCTCGATTCGTCCCTAATTGCTCTCTCTCTCTCAATTCGTCCCATTTTTTAAATACTTATTCTACATAAGTTCGCTTTATATTCTTCAAAATAACAAGAATTTCGTCCATGTTGGTCAGCTTACAATAAATAAAAATATGTACGGAAACGTGTCTAAAACAGGCAGTAGAAAATGTATTTTCTGTTCATCCACACATTTATGAATTTATTGACTTATTATGTCAAGAACATCACCAGTCTTTCAGCACCATCACGCAGAAGAATCTGAAGTCTAAACTCGCAAACGTAAAAAAATTTACAATGAAATTGATGAAAAATTAAAAAGTTTACTTAACACTCATAAAAAAGGGAAGTTAACAAATCTACAATTGCGGAACGTCCGTAAAAATTCAGATGGACTAAAGACAATGTATTAATAATATTTTTTTGTTTCCATTTCTGAAAGTTAAATATAAGAGAACTTATGTAGAATAAGTATTTAAAACAATTTGTGGGACGAATTGCGAGAGTAATTAGGGACGAATCGAAAGTAAACCATAAATACAGGCGTACGGAAAGAATTAGAGAAAATGTCGCTTATGACTCTATAGATTTTTTCGTTAGTTAGCCATGACGTAGTGCCATAAGTCACAATAAGTCAAATTTTGATTTTTTTTGTGTCTCATATTAATTTGAGTTGTAGGTATTATTCTGTTTAAACTATTTTTTCTTTGCAGAAAAGATAGCCAAGAAAAGGAGCCTCAAATTATTATTACTTTTCTAGATTCCCGGCAATAAAATGGATTCACAAAATTTGGCTATCGTATTTGCTCCAACGATCTTGTTAGATGGAAAAGCAATTACGAAAGATATGAATGTTACAAGTATGGAACAAGCAAAATCTGTGCTGCAAATGATGATTGAACAATACAAAGATTTATTTACAGTAAGAACGTTAAAAGTTTAACTATAATATATTTATTTGTTAGAGTAGAGATTGTAACTCTTCTGCTACAGAACGATACTTCCGGTAGTGTACATTCATTTCATATTTCTATAGATTTCACGAGATTTGCACAATGAACTAATGAATACTCTATATGAAACAAATAATGAACAACTCGTACGTGCATTAGCATTTAAGGTTAAAAATGTTTGCGGGTAAGTATGAGAAAAGTATATTTGTCCTACATATGATTTGTAAACTTAAATCTATTTTTAGAATTGTTACAATTCAATTAAATGAAACTGATGAACGTGAATTTTCTTCACTTGATTTAACACCGTTATTTTATGATTCTCCGAATGTCGGTATTCTTGGTGCAATAATTCCAACACGTGTTCAACCAGCAGCACGTCGTTATAATTTCCGTCGTAATAGCGATTTTCCTTATTCATCTGTTCATACATCTCGTTCATCAGAATTCCTTCAAGTACCATCATCATCGTCAGCACAACGTTTAAGCCAAGCAAATACGAATAAAACGACTATTATAAACACATCAACACGTTTATCAACTGTGAGAGATATTCGAGAAGCCAGCATGGATCAAATTATTTTTCGACTTATTGAACCGCCAAGTGAAGAACGTCATGCAACAGAACCGATTATCAATGTCACGTCATTTGATGATGTTATCGATATAACAGCAACATCTTTAACAACTGCTACGACGCTTGACCATAATCGTCGTCTAATTATTCGTCCAAACTCATTGAATATCAATGGAACAGAACCATCAGTCGTCACTCAATCATCATCATCCGAATCTCAACAAAATGCCAATAACAACAATACGTTGGGTTTAAGAGAAATAAAACCCTATGCTCGTTCAAAAACGGCACCACTCTCCTCAGGTCATTATTTAAGTCCAAGAAATCATCGAGAATCAGCGACAAGTGCAAAAAATTTATGTGGTTCATCGACAGACGAATCACCATCACCATTAGGTGCAACAAAACAAAGCGAATTGACTGCGACACTTGTTTGAATATCTCTCTCTTTTCCTTTCTCTATCTCTGTCTCTTTTGTTTTCAGCAATCAATATTCGAGAATCTCATGCAATACGCAGAAAAGTCTAACTTTTCTTTCACGTATTGATTAAGTCAATGTCAAATTTATATTTATTTATTTATTTAATTATTTATTTATTTATTCATTTTGTTTTGATCGTTTGTATATGTACTCTACTGTTGTAACCGTTTCTCTTTTTTTCTTCGAAGTTAGAGGACCATAAGTGTATCACACCAACAGCAAAGTAATGAACAAAATACAGATGTGTTTTGTCTATACAATTTTGAAAAATAGAGTTACTAGTCAGTCAAATACTTTTTTAGTATCAATACTCAATTCAGATCTATTAAGAGATATAATTTGTACCGAAATCGGCTCCATCTGAGATCGATTTTAAATCCAATATCAACAATTTGCATTTTTAGATATTTCAGTTTATTGCAAAAACGATCTTATAACAATCAAAATAACGTTCATATCTAAAGATCTGATACCATATGTAGAAAAAAAACGGTTAAAGTTCTATAATGTATCATAAAATGCCATTGTCATATTTGGTTTTGTAAAATAGTCTGTTGTTATTGATGGATTGAAACCAAATTGTTCAGTTGACAAACATAAATTTTCTTGATGTTTTGTTGTTGTTGTTGTTCGTTTAATTGGTAATCGAGCTGGCGCTGCTCGATGTAAATGTAATTCATCAAATATTGTTTGTAAAAAATTATCAGGTAATCGTCGTCTATAATCTCCTGCTTCACAATCTTGATCAGATTTTGTTCGTTTAGCTAAGCCTTTTTGTATTAATTGTTCTTTTCGACGTTTATTTTGAAACCAAATACGAATTTGATCTCGGCTAACACCAACGTGATGAGCAATGACCGTTTTTTGTAAACTATTTGGATAACGAAAACGTTTATAAATTTCACTGAGCATAATTAATTGATGACGAGTATAATTGGCACGATTAATTTGTGATGAGGATGATGGAAAAGCATCACCAATTGGTATGGATGGTACGGAATACATTTCAGGTGAAAATAAACAAGGACGTGATGGTGGTATAGTTGAAAATGAATGTAAAAATGTTGTAGATGTTGGATGTTGTAGATGTTGATGATAGGGTAGTGGAGAAGAAAAAGAATCTGGTAGTGCAAATGAATGATTTTCCAATGATTGTAATGGTGACGAATAATAAGATGTTTCTGTTGAATCAATAGTAGCACAATGCGTTTTATCACTAGAAAAGTGGCATGCTGAAGGTGGCGATGTGGTCTCTGTTGATGCAAAATAACATGGAGAATTTGATCTTGTCGTGTAATTGCACCACGTTGGATACTGAAGTTGTAATGAATCCTCGTAGTTGACATTGGAACTTTCTTGATCTGTGAAGATCGTTGAACTAAATAAATAATAATAAAAAAAATAGAATAAAAGCAAGAGTACTAGAAATAGAAGAAATTGATATATATATATATATAGTGCATGTAGATTTAGAGGAAACAGTACATGTTCACTACTATCAAATCGATCGAGTAATTGATCCAACATTATTATTTTTCAACTCTATAGTAGAATATCTAATAAAGAACCTTTGAAACTTATAGACTGAACAGCAAACAACTAGGAGAAAAATTCACTTGACAAATAGTCTTGTTTAACCGTTGGTACCAAATAAAGTTGTTTTACAAGTGCTTTTTAGCTACAGAAAACCTCTAGTCTTGGAAACTTGAACTGGCCCATACTAGGTACTACAAACCAAGTTCTAGTTAAAGGAGTTTAAAAGTCAAAATCATCGATAATATTAGTTATGAATCCTGGCCTTATTCTACGATTGTACTTGATAGATTTCTGCGTTTATAATGTATCGTTACTATACTATTGTTTGATCAAATTTTAGTGGTAACTGTAGAATTATAGAATATATGGATAGAGTAAAACGTATCGTTACCTGTGTGTATTCATCTAGGGTTTTTGCAGTATGATATATAAGTTGTGAAAGGTGATGAGTTCTATATTCGACTGTAAACTATCGATATAAAATTACAGCATATATATTTATTATTGAGGAAAAAGAAAAGTAGAGATTATATAGAGAATTATATTTTTTCGTTTCAATTTTTTTTGTTTTTTTTGTCTGCTAGAAGAAAAATTATCGACACCATCACTTAACCAATTAAGAGTATCACACATTAAAACTCGGCAGGTAGTTAGATTGTCGATGTAATTAATCAAATCAACCTGATCATTTACCTTATAGTTTCCAATAATATTTATATATAATACGCACTCACTAGTGAGAATAAGCCAAATGATAAAAAATGGATTATGCAATATTGGTAAGAAATAGTTAATTTTGAAACTATGATGACCTGCAGTCCAATGACGTAAACAAACGTTGTGAAAAAAATAGATAGAGGATTCTTATGAGAAAATATACAAATAGCAAGGATAAAGTAAGTAAGTATAGCTCTGTTTGACAAATAAAAATCGTACGTCATAATAACCAACGAGTAAGATACTCGTAAATTTTTGCTTAACATCACATTACTTCTACTATTTGGCGTTTCATGTATTCACATGTCCGAACTCTTTTTTTGAAAGCACAATATTTTTCTTTTTGTGTTGATTGAACGATACGGTTTTCATATTTGATTGTAATTCACAACCTTGAAAAAAGTTTGATTGTTCTTTGATCTAATAGTCTTCACTTCTATATGATTCGAAATATATAATATCGAAATATATAATTCGAAATAGATCAACTTGTTTAAGGAAATCTCATTGTTTAGTGTTGGACTGTCATAGGTATCGAATGTAACTATCTGTTATAATTAAATATCAAATTTCTATAAGAAATCAAAGTTCAGGTGCTGAGTAAGGCGGCATATGAGTTTTATTTTCACTCTCTCTCTACAGTTATTGAATAGTGATTTAGTGCTGTATTGAGATTTGATCTTGATGAAGCAAATTTTTTCTATCGTAAACACAGAATAATAACCGATTAATTAATAATGATTATTGTGTTTTCTTTTTATCTAAATATTCAATGTTTGTTTTCTAAAAATAAGACAAAGCAAGAAGGAAACACAGCATTATATAATCCGTAATAGTACGAGGAAAGATCGCATATAATAAAGTTAAACGCATAATTTATTGATGCGTGTCGATTGATCAGTGATTGTAAATTCATTTTTATATTAGTAGTCTGCAGTCATTATTCATTGTTTTATAACAAAAGTATGAAAAAGAGCATTGAGCTGATACTAATTTGAATAATATGATGTTCAAAGAAAAATAAATAATGAGTTCCATCATCTTATTGATGAATTAAAGAGATTAATAGGAAATGCAAATTAAAGTAGATTAGATCTATCTATAAATAAGCTCTAATTGACTCATTACTAACGAAAAACTTGTTGTTTGATAATAATGATCTCCGAAAACAGTTCTTTAAACAAAATTCAAGAATGAAGAAAAGACCCTGTGAGTGCTTGTTTAATGTTTATGCTTTAACATAGAAACGCGATCAAAATAGTTTAGCTTTTTTTCAATATATGAAAGTTGTTTTATTCTTTCCTTATCAAATTTATAGAATAACGGAGTATATTATCGTCGTGATGAGTTTTTGATTGTCGCTCTAAGATACTGATGTCTCAAGTGATATATTTTTGCCTTTCATTTTTCACAATGAACTCATACCTTCCGTTTTAATAGTGAACGCTGGAGAAGGAGAACAAGAGTTTTGTCGAAAGAGAAAGATCACATCGACGATCAATAATAATAATAATACGTAAACATAAAATCCAATAATTGTTATCATAGAAAGCAAGATACTAGAGGGGTTAAAACCTATCCTTTCTTAAGTGTTTTTTGCAATCGTTTGGCTGATACGTAGATGTTTAAAGTGACACTTCTGCATTCCAGTATACAAAAGTAAAATGAGATTTTTTCCCATTTTTGGATCTATTGGCGCATTGTTTCTTATAAGAAGAAATTTGCTATGTAAGTTTATATGGAACACCACGAGATAAAAGAATTCAAGCAAAAGTAGCGAATGCTGATTGATATAAGAGCAAAAGGATTAATAAGTTCATATAACATATCGGTTCAAGGGCTTCCATCACTCTTAGAAACTTGGAGCAAATAGAGAACAAATTAACAAATTTACTCTTTTTCCGAACAAATTCACCCCGTAATTGCTTACGAGAAGTGTTCGGAAGTTTCACAAGAAAACGTGTGAATAAAGAACAGTTGATCATTAAATTCACGGTGAGCTCACGTTAATTACAAAAGCTCTAGAAGGAAACAATATGTAGCACCCTCACCCTCACCGATGTCATAGTTGTAGATGAATTGAAAAAGCAGCAAACTAGCTATATTCTTTCTCTCGTAGAATAACGTTATTATTATAACGAAGCAATTTGATAATTGAGGTTATAACGATGCTTCTTAGGTGTTAGATTTGAACTGCTCGCACCGTATTCTTTTAATCGGTTGAGTCGAATTTTTATTTCACCAAATATTCAAATCTAGAAATATTTCATTCATCAACAAAGAAATGTTACGTTTGTCGATGCGCTAGCCTGTCAACATTGTTGTATATCACTTTATTTATAAAAAAAGAAAGAAGCAGTGACAATGGGAACACAAAACATAAAGTGTAGACAAATGTATTCCAAATATTTAAGAAAAAAATAGCTAAAATAATTGATATGGAGAGATGAGCAACGAGCACAGAAAGTTAAATTGATTCTATAACTATCATGTAATATGTGCTAGACCTGCTAAACGTGATAAGATAGAATTGATGGACATTATCCGAGTGCAACTTGAGGACATATAAGTGAAACATATTATCAATATTGTTCAATATCGAGACGGATCTTGGCTACAGTCTCTCGCCGACTCCCATTTTGTAATTAAATCAAGACTATCAATTATTACATTCATGTTGGGAGGTATATTAAAATGAAAAGTAACCAATCTATAACAAAAAACCTAATAAAAGCAACCATATTGTCACCGAGCCTATTCAGTATTTGTCCAAGGAAGTAGTCAAAATTTTCTTCGTTTTCTCCTTAGTCCATTTTTTTCTGATGCGGTGGTTGATCAATAAAACTACAAAAATTTTACACCATGTTATTTAGCCTTATAAAAATGTTTTTAACAGAATATAGAGAAAATAATTTAAGGGGATGGCCTTGGCTAGAACCTGATCCTGTTCTATGGATGTCGATGAATATGGTGGATGAGGAAACGTGTATTTTTCGTTTAATTCAAAACATTAGCTGGTAGTTTTTTATCCAGACTGTCAGAAAAAAGTTAACATTCAAATTTGTTCGTCAAAACCTTCTAAGAGCTCAAACTACTCTTCTTACAAAGTTGTATTAAACAAGTGATGAAAAACCATTTATTCTCTTATGTAATTTTCCCCATATGTTGTATCTTTCTGGTTGGTAAGCTCTAGTCTTCGTCTCCAATCTATTCGTTTTCAGTTAGAATTTCTCAAATCTAAAAATGAAGTTTTTGTTTAAGGCAATTGGTCTCAACTATTTTGCCAGTTTGCGTAGGGTTGACGTTTCTGGTTAGGTCAGTATACTAGAAAAAGGAAATTAAAGTGTTTTAGAATAAAAAATCGACTAACGTGTTATGTCCATGTTATGGTACTATTAATATGAGTTAGGATCTCAGATATATTCGAGAGTCAAACTTTTACTGTTGATAAAAGTTCACCTTTGATCTTATTACATTGTGTGAATACAAATTATTCACGACTGCAAAGCGAACAAACAATTGAGAATTCGATTGAAGATTCACAAACATTAATATTCTTTTAACAACAAAAATATTTATAAATAAGCTGAATTGATTGTAATGTTAACAATATTATGGTAAAAAGGTATCTAAGCAATTTGTTATATTGTTGGTGTATAAAAATGAAATATGAACGTACAGCAGATTTTCAATCTTTATTTTTATTCAACTATCAATTTTTAATTGATACGTGTTTCTTGACGACAACAAGTAGACAAAAGTCAGTTGTTTGTTATTTTGAATGGATGATATAGAAAACAAATGTCTTTTTTTAGACCGTAGTTTATTCGGTAATTATTAAATCGTTTTCTGAATTAAATAAACGATGACAAACGAGATATGAAATATTATGTTCAACAAAAAAAGGAAACCAAATTTACACAACACATAAACAATATGCATGAATTATTTTCTTAAATAAGTTAAGGTATCTAACAATATCAGTTTTTCATACAAACCATTAAAACCGTCGTTTCATCACAATTATAATCTTTCAACAATTTGTTATCGTCTAATTCTTCGAAAAAATTACCACTTTTCGATAGTGTTACACGTACAGGATCAATACCTTCTTGTTTTCCAAGTGTTTGTTTTAATTTTGATAGTGAATCAGTTAAATAACCTTTTACTTTAAATTCTCGTCCTAAAAACGTCCGTAATGTAAATATTTTAGAATTACTAAAATACAGAAAAGAAATACAATTTGAAAGATGAATTATCGACATTTTCACAACATACTCTGAACTAATTCGTTGAAGACTATGTCGTAACTCCTCTGCTGAAGATGATAGATCCGATGTAGAAGGTGATGAAGCCCCATCTGTGATATTTAACTGAAAATTGTTGCATAAATGATTCAAATGAACAAGAAGATCTTGATCAAATTTCAACGATATTTCCACCTGCTAAAACACAGAAAGAAATGATGTTATTGACTTAAGAAATATTTCTTAACGTTTCTTGAGATAAATAAAATCGAATAGATTTTGCACGGAGGGCAAGAGTAGTGACAATGAGTGGAAAAAGAATTTAAAAAACTGAAAATCTGTGAAATAAAACTTAGTTTAACAAAACATTATAATTACAAGAAAATATCTGGTATACAAAGTCATTCTGAATAACTTCAACGCAGGACTGAGCAACTCCGCTGACTTTCAACTCCAACTCAACTCCGTTTTCAAATTTCCAACTCCAACTCTAACTCCAACTGCGCTCAAAACTTTTCAACTCCAACTCCAACTCTCTCAACAGAAATTTCAACTCCAGTTCAACTCCGGCTGCTTCACTTTTGTAAGGAAGATTTTTCGGTTTTTAGCAGGATTCTGGACGTTTTTGAGCTTTTTCCGGCAGGAAAGCGCAAAGAACTTCAGTTCACTCGTAAATACAGCCACTCAATCCTTTAGAAGATCAGTTTACAACTATTGAATATTTCCAAAAATGAAAAACAGAGTTGAGAGTAAAAATTCAAAAATCCAATTCCACCCTACTAAAATCTCAACTCCAACTTCACCGAAAAAATCATCAACTCCGGAGTTGGAGTTACCCAGCCCTGCTTCAACGACTGTTGAAAGTAGAGAATAAGTTTAAAGAAGTTCAAAATTGTGGCAGAATGTCTGTGTATGATTATTTAAGAAATTGCTCAACTGTCGGTTAATCTATAAAGAACTTCCAATTGATTGCCGAATCGTTTTCGAACATCGTTGAAAATCGTGCTTACATTTGCTTTTGCTTGATGATTGATTAGTTTTTGTTCTAATTTTTTTTGTAAATCTCTTGATGTATTCAGAAGAGTTAACAGTTCTAATTCACTTTTGCTAATACGAAAACGAGAAGAGAAAATAAAAAACATTCGTTGGAGATAATCAAAGTCTAACTAACGTGTCAAGTGTATTGATTTGTCTACTCAATCCAAATTTTGTGGTTTCTAACGGTGTTATGTCTTGCTGAACTTGTCTATAAGAAAAAAGAGGATCAAAACAATACAGTGCTGGTTTTTTTTCTTAGTTTGCTTCTTGTCAATTACTGTAGTTGTGTGTGTTCATTTTGTTCAAGTTTATTTAATATTTCTCTTTGTTTATGTAATAAGAGAGAATCAAATTGTTGTCTAATATTTTGAAATTGTTGGCAGATCTCATTACGAACATGTTTGTAAGCACTTTGAATTGATTCTAGAAAAACGTATAATGCTAACGGGTTATTGCTTTTTTAAATGAAATAAACCTTTTAGTTTTTCTTGATCGGTATTTTCTAATAAATTTAACGCGGTTTTGGTCGCTGTTCGTATATCAGACAAGTGTTTCTCATTACAAAAAGTACATTTCGCACAATTGCAATATTCACAAATTATCAATGTGCCAAGCACATCACAACTTGGACCTAAATAGAAACAAAGTAATGAATTACACTTCAGACAAATTCCAGTGTAGCTATGCAAAACCAAGATCTTTATAATGTTAATTGGGATTCGATCAAATTAAAAGATGTCTCAAGTGTGACTAAAAACGGAGTTAACAATATAATTTTATGTTGTTAAATATCAAAAGTTCTTTTTTTATTTCTCCTATACCCACTGAAAAAAATAATCAGAATTCATGCGGGATCCCGCAGGATTTTGCGTAGGATCCTGCGGCTTATCGGTATTAAAATATCTGGGGATGGTTCTTACCTTTACGCAGGATTTTTATACTGCCAGCACTGACAGGACCCTGCATAGTTTATGTGGGGTTAGCACGGGAAAAATCCTGCGTAAAGGTAAGAAACAATTGCAACACTTTTTGACTTATTCAATCCACAAGTTTTTTCCTATGCGATCTGGCAGGATTTTGTTCTCCATATCTATTCTACGGTATCCTGCAATCTCTTCTCATCAGTGTCTGTCCAGGGTGACCGTGGAGGAACTTGTCTATATTTTTTATTTTTTAGAAAGTTAAATACT